CCGCCGCAGCAGCCACGGAAGTCGAGCCCAACTCTCAACCGTGGTCGCTCCATCAGGAACCCAGGCAAGGCGGTGAGGCCGGAGCCGGAGGCTGCAGTCCCCACGACGAAGTACAGAATTAAACTGTCAGCTAACGCGACCTGGCTGCTGCTGCGTCATCACCAGAATGAGTGGGGGTGGATGAACCCCTTCATTGGCACCGGGCTCCTGCCGGGCTCCCAGAGCAGAGCCGGTGTGGACCTCACGTCCTTTATGAAGATCTCGCTCCTTAACGACCAGAACCGCTATGACGACGAGTAGTATGATGAGGATCCGGTGCCGGGGGTCATGGACCAGGAGCTGGTGTGCAGGTGCATGGAGTGGCTGTGTGGGGCGGAGAAAGCAAAGCAAGAGGACAGGCTGGGAACTCTGCCCCACCACTATGACCACTGAGCCTGAGGGGCAGAGATCCATCTTCCTGTCGCTCCTCACGGCAAGAGCCATGGCTGCCCATGTGCTGTGCCTGGAAGCAGAGTTCCTCCATCCTCACCAACATCTGGTCTTCTGACCATCCCATCAGAGTATCGGTGCCAGGTTTAACCTGAGGGGAAACGGACTTACTCTGCCCAGACAGAGGCGAGGGACAGCTGTCCCTGCAAAATGCATGGGGACTCACAGGGAGCTTTGATAGATGATGGACATGATCGGGAGGTTAACCCCTGTGCTTTGGGGGTTTTTAAATGTGACCAGGTGGGGGGGAGAACCAATAAATATTCATAGTTGCTATGGCCTGTGCAGCTCGTTAACTTACTGTAACACAACAGGTGCTTCATATTCATGCCAGTGTTCTTTGTAGCAAAAGCTGACTCCTGACACTTGCAGGCATTGTTTTCCATTTCTGGGTCTGGTTAGGGAGGAGAAGATGGAGAAACTTGCTAAAACTATAGAGCCTTTATCAGAAACTATCACGCAAGTGTCTTTGTATTAAATAACCAAGGGCAGTCAAACAAAAAGAAAACAAAATCCTCTATGCAATACAGAGACTCAAGACAGTGTTCAGTTACTGAAGGAGGATAAATATTTTGATTTCCTTTTTAAAAGAAACTACTTTGTAAATAGAGGAAGGGTACGTTGATTTTGTGTGTTTGAACAGAAAGAAACGTTTTTTATTGATTTGAATAAATAATTAAAGCCTGTTGTGTTGCAACAGCAGTACCTTGGGAACTGTGAACGGGACTGTTAATCTGCTGCAGGCATCTGATTTTATTCAGTTCTGGGTTTGAAAGATAAACAGCGATTACAGAAAGATAAGGATGGGCTGATTCAGAGCCGGAGAATGGGCAGCTCTTAAGCAGACATACAGTTCGGGCAAGAGGTGGTTGGAAGAGGAAGGCATTGTGCATCATCAGTATATGAATGGTCTAACACAGGGCTACTCAACATGCCACCCGTTTATTTGCGGCCTGCGGCACAGTTTGGGTTTATGCGAGGCTCAACATGCGACCCACAAGTGGGAGCCAAAACAAAAAAGTAGTCTTCTCTTGACATGCCCCAAAATATTCCTGGTTCATAGGGCAGTACAGCCTCCGAAAGGGTAAGTCTTTAAAGAAAGTTAAGGGTGTGCAAACAAGATGGTTAAATCGCCTTAAAAGTGAAGGGTGTGAAAACAAGATGATTAAATAGCCTTCTCAACTACTTGTTGCCACAACAATACTATAATTCAATAATTTAAGAATTTACTGATGAATTTTCTAAGATGCTATGGCAAACCTCTTTCACAAGAAATACATTTTATTAAACAGGTATGAACATGTTAACTTGAATTTATCAAATATGCTGTAACAGTAAAATCGAGTGTGTGACATCCTGGCTTCACTGTGGTCAGAGGAAGTTGTATCATAGATTTTAAAGGAACCAGGATTTCACCTAATATTATCCTTAAGTGGGAAACACCATGTAGTTTTTGTTGTAATCTTTTAAGATCTTCAGAGGAGTAGCCAAGTTAGTGTGTATCTGTTTAAAAAACAACAAATAGTCTAGTAGATGGTATCGTGAGCTTTGGTGGGCAATATCCACTTCTTTAAGTCACTGGATTATTAAAAGTCCAGATCCAAGAATAAATAAGGAAAGCCGGGGGGGTGGGAGGAGGACGAGGGAGGAGTAAAAAAACTGAATAGATTTACAAGAGTCAATGGACACAAATCAGATATCCTAAAAGGCAACACACAGAAACCTCTTGGAGAACACGTTACTCTGCCTGGATACTCATTAATGGATTTCCAAGTCACCCTGTTGTTTCAGGCCAATTCCATGCCCCAAATACACAGGCTCCAAATTCCCAAGGAGCCCCTTGCCATTCCACACTGCTGCCTCTTTATCAGGCTGGAGCTGGGCTGGAAGGGTTTAAAAAACATCTCCCCTCTCTGACCAGCTGCCTAGCACCCTGTGCTGCTGCCTCAGATAAAGAGCCAGACCTGGTGTGAGCTGGAACTAAGCCAGACTGCTGGCCAGCCGGCTAAAAAATGTACTGGCAGGACTGGGGAATACATGTTGTCTATAGCATTAACCTACACTTTTGCTTTTGCTTATTGGTTAATTGACTACACTATTACATCCCTAATGGATAATAAAATGAACAATAGTTAAGCTCCACTGTGGATAATATAATGAACAATAGTTAAGCTCCACTTAGCCACTTTTCTGGTATCAGTGATTTGTGCTTAATTTTGCTTAGTCGTGCCAGCATTTTTATTTGGGCCGCAAAGATAATTGATACATTTTGGACTCCACAATTCATTGCAAATGGCAAAGGTTGTATCTCCATGTGTAACCCCATATGAAATCCTTAGCACCCCTATAAAATCCATGGACACAATTGTCATAAAGAGTGCATAGATTAGATTGCATGTTCCGTATGCATGTCTATCCGTCGTCAGTGCTGCACTGGAACAGTTGCAATGGTACAGTCAGTCTTTCCATCAGCATCCTGTTGTGCAAACTGCCTCACCAACCCTTGGCAAACTTAAGAAGTAGCCACTATTGCAAAGTTTACATTCTCATATAGAGGTAGCCTTTTATATCCTATGTGAGTCTATGTGCAAAACTAACTACAGAAGCTACAGCTACATCCAAAGACATTTTACTGTGCTTTTTTTAAAAAAAAGCACCTTAAAGAATGGTAAACATTTATGATACTTCAATTTTAAATATTTTCAACTTGGGCTGAATGACACCCTAAAATCTGTTACTGAGACGTTAGGTAATGCACATTCAGCCAGGTCCCATACAGTATTGCAGCGCACAGCTTTTCCTGTATTGAAAAAACATTTTCTGAATTGAAAACTGTAATTTGGAACAAATTTGGACCGAAACTCTTAGTTTTTTAAAAATATATCTGGAAAATAATACCACTTAGCCAAAGCAGCCTCTGCCTACCACCCTACCTCTTTCTCCTCTCCCCACTACAGGCACTGTCTGAGCTGGATGGGCTGGAGCAGCTCCTGCTGGTGATGGGCCAGAGTACCCTGTGGAAGCAGCCTGGCTGTGTCTACACTGGCCACGTGTTCTTGTGCAAGTAAACTGATGTTCTAATGTATGAAATAAGGGCTTCTTGTGCCAGAACTCTGACGCTTCTTTTCCGCAACTGTTCTTGCGCAAAAGGCCGGTGTAGACAGGCAACATGAATTTCTTGTGCAAGAAAGCCCGATGGTTAAAATGGCTTGGATGCTCTTGCACATATCTCTTGTGGAAAAGCACATGCCAGTGTAGACGCTCTCTTCTGGAAGAGTTTTTGCATGAGAACACGCCAGTGTAGATATGGCCCTTCTGTTCATGGGTTTCTGACATGGCCCCTCTGTTCATGGGTTTCCCAGCCCAAGGAAACATGATCTGTCTGTAGTTCCCCCATGCCAAAGCAGCCTCTGCCTACCAACCTACTTCTTTCTCCCCTCCCCACTACAGGCATTGCCTACACTGGATGTGCTGGAGGAGCTCCTGCTGGTGGTGGGCCAGAGTACCCTGTGGGAGCAGCCTGGGTATGTCTACACTGATGTGATCTTGCACAAAAGCAGCTGCTCTTGCGCAAAAACTTGCCGCCTGTGTACACTGGCTGCGTGTTCTTATGCAAGTAAACTGCTGTTCTAATGTAAGATATAGGGCTTTTTGCGCCAGAACTTCTGACGCTTTCCCGCTCAGGAATAAGCCCTTTTGTGCAACTGTTAGAGTGGCCTGCTATTGTTGCGCTTCTCACTTGTGTACAGCTCCTCACTGACTTTTCTGTGGGTCTGCTGCCCCTGACCCAGCAAAGGTTCCTGATCCCTGAGTTTGGATCTTTAACAACACTTGCAAAAATATATCCCATGCAAATGAGTAAACGTTTGTACTAGTGCGTTTCCTAAATAAAAGAAAGGTTAGTTGTAAAATGGCACGTAGCTATTTGAAGATCACAGTGCAGTTGATTTTGAGAGATAACAGGAAGATAACAGGAACACTATCAACAACGAGTGCCACAGCACTGCTAGATATCAGCAATAACAGTTTGAATACTGTAACTATTAGCCGAGATGGTCAGGGATCTAACCGCACGCTGCAGGTGTCCCTAAAGCTTTGACTATTATTAGCTGTGCCTGGCAAACAGGAAATGGATCCTGTTCTCTTCACTCTCTCTGACTTATCTGGTACCAAGCACTGTCAGAAGACAAAGATTCTGGGCGGGATGCATGGGCATGTTCAGGCATTTAAATGTGAGGGCTGTTGCAGAGGCACGTTAAATGCATGACTTTGAAGAAATATGGTGTATACCCTCACTCTAACAAAGCTGTGCTAATCAAAACTTCTTGGTTGTCATAGCTAGGGATTCATTGTAGCACAAAGGGATCACTTAGGGGCCTGATACCTTCTCTGGCTGCACAGGGAGCGAGAGCCAGAGGAGCTTCCCTTTTCTGTAGGGTTGCCAACCCTCCTGGATTGGCTGGAAATCTCCCAGAATTGACTTTGGTCTCCCACAGAAACTACTGAAAACTGTCGGGAATATTTTAAGTTACTAAAAGTCTGGTGGTGCAGCAGAGCAGGCAAGCCCTGTGTGGCTTCCAGAATCAAGCAGCAGCATGTCCGGTGCCTAGGCTCAGGTATGGCTCGGGAGCTTTCAGTGTGCACCCTGTCACGAGTGCTGAGACCGCAGTCCCCTTTGGCTTGTAATCACAGCCCCTGGGAGGGAGCTTTGAAGGCAGTGCTGTGCGCAGCGGCAGCATGCAGAGCTGCCTGGCCATCCTTGAGCCTAGGACGTGGCATGGTGGCTTTTCCGGGAGCTACCTGAGGTAAGT